ATTCGTTCTTTAGAAGTATTGAATCAAACCATTGATAATTTTGGTGACACTTTAATGACTTATTTAACTTTGCAAAAATTAGACCCTGCTACAAAATTATGGTGGGAACGTCAGTTAAAATCTAATGAAATTCCAAAACTTACGACTTTAATTGAATTCCTAAAAAACTATGCAAGAACACTTCAAAATAGCAAATCAACAAGTAATAAGGTACCTAAATCTGTGTTTCAAAATAAGAATAATGTTCTGGTTGCTACTTTGGGTTGTGGTTATTGTAAAGAAGATCATAGTTTAGCCAAATGTTCGAAATTTCTAAATTTATCGGTTCAGCAAAGGATAGATTTTGTAAAATCTAATCGTTACTGTTTTAATTGTTTATCTAATATGCACTTGCTCAAAAAATGCAACAGTTTAAATACATGTCGACATTGCTTTAAGAAGCATCACAGTATTTTGCACATTATAAATAATTCAAAGAATAAAACTCAGTTAAACAGTATATCTCCGCCTACGCAATCTATCATTAAAAGAGATGAATTAACGATTCCTAAGGACGTTTCAGCCACAGTTTGTGCCTCTCATTATGATTCGAATGCAAAGGGTAATCAAACCAGTCACATTTTATTGTGTACTGCTTTAATAAAAGTTCAAAATTCTAAGCAACAATTTGTGAAGTGTAGATGTTTATGTGACACTGGATCTCAGAGATCATTTATTTCAAGGGATTGTGTGAAGAAATTAGGATTACGAGTGAAAGATAATTCCATTTCTGTATCATGTCTAGGAGAATTTAATACTATAAGTAATGGGGAAGTCGATTTAGTATTCACTTCTCATTTTAAAAGTGATATTCGTGTATCAACATCAGCGTTTGTACTGGACAAGGTGACAGATAACATTCCCTATGTATCTTTGCCATCAATCATCTTCGATAACTTCAGTGATTTACAATTAGCTGATCCATTATTTTACAAGTCACAACCAGTTGACATTTTATTTGGAGTAAATGTATTTCTGCATTTAATGACGGGAGAAAGAAATTGTCAAACGTGGTCCTGATCTACCATTTGCTCTAAATTCGAGGTTGGGATGGATAATTTCGGGTACTACAAATTTTGAATCTACAAATTTTGAGCCAGTATATGTAAATCATTTGAATACAAACACAGATGAGTTAGTAAATTCTTTCTGGGAGTTAGAAAAGTTTCCAAATGTACAACCTTTAACAAATGAAGAAAAACTTTGTGAAGAACATTTTAAAAACTCGCATTTTAGAGACACATCAGGTCGTTATTCAGTTGCATTACCATTCAAACATAATAGAGATATTCTAGGTGACTCCCGTGAAAGTGGCGTACAGAAGATTTCAATACTTGGAGAAGAGGCTGTTATCTATGAAAGAAATTTACAACCAGTATATTCAGTTTATGAAAGAGTACTTTTCACTAGAACACGTAGAATTAGTGCCAGACACAGATTATGAATTAGAGAATAAACACTATTATATCCCACATCACTTTGTGTTGAAGGACTCTAGCTTAACAACAAAATTGAGAGTTGTTTTCGATGCGAGCGCTAAAACAACCACAGGTGTTTCTTTTAAATGATACACTAATGATAGGCCCAAAAATACAAGATGACTTAATTTGTATTTTACTAAGATTTAGACTTCATAACATTGCAATAACCGCTGATATTAAAATGATGTACAGACAGATAAAGGTTCATGAAAAAGATAGAGATTTTCAGAGAATATTATGGAGAGATAGCCCATATAAGCAAATACAAGTTTGTCGTTTGAAAACAGTTACATATGGAACTGCAGCTGCTCCATATCTTGCAACCAAAGTGTTGAGTCAGTTAGCGATTGATGAAGGATTGAACTTTCCAAAGGCAAAGAATATAGTTTTAAGAGATTTTTATGTTGATGATATGTTAACTGGTGTAAAAGATAGTTCGGAAGGTATTGCATTGATAGACGAATTGCAACATCTGCTAAAAAGGGTGGCTTTGAGCTTCACAAATGGTCGACAAGTGAACCGTCATTGTTAAAAACCTCTGGCTTAACAAACACACAGATAGTGACAATATTCATCGTGTAATAGAAGACAAACCATTGAAAGTTCTGGGATTGGAATGGCATCCGGACAATGATGAATTCAAATGTAATGTCGGTGTAATAGAGTATCAAAGTGTTCCGACTAAAAGAATTATTTTGTCATTCGTAGCAAAACTATTCGATCCATTGGGGTGGATAGCTCCGTTTGTAATTCTCGCTAAAATGATCCTTCAGCAATTGTGGAAATTACAGTTATCATGGGATGATCCTGTAACAGAAGAGATTGATCGAAATTGGAGAAATCTATGTAGAGAAGTTAAACTTTTGAATTCTATAAATATACCTAGGAAAATTCTGCTACCTGATTATTTTCGATGTGAACTTCACGGATTTTGTGATGCGTCTGAAAGAGGTTATGCAGCAGTTATTTATATCAAAACTTGCAATAACTCTGACATTAATGTTAAACTCAGCTAAAACAGCTAAAACTCGTGTAGCACCATTAAAATCTATTACGATTCCAAGACTGGAATTATGTGCAGCAGTGTTATTGGCACGCTTAATTCAGTCTGTAAAAGCTGCATTAGTTATAAATTTTGATTTAGTGCAAGCTTGGAGTGATTCACAAATCGTGTTGTCATGGCTAAGGTCAGATCCTAAAAAATGGCAAGTATTCGTATCCAATAGAGTTTCTGAAATACAATCCATCTTACCACCTGAGAACTGGAGTCATGTTGATGGAAAGGAAAATCCAGCTGATTGTGCTTCACGTGGATTATTTCCTGCAGAACTATTATCTCATCAATTGTGGTGGAATGGTCCTTCTTGGTTAAAGTGCAGTGAGATTGCCTTGTCTAAAAATATTCTTATAGATGAAAAGGCATTACCAGATGCACGTAAAACAGTCTCATTTGTAGTTTCTGAACCTGTACAGGAACTTTCTATTATATCAAATATATCTTCATTTCCAAAGTTACAACGCATATTTGCTTGTATATTAAGATTCATATCGAATTCTAAAGTAGCATATCTAGAAAGAAATACGTCTTTTTTATCTAGTAATGAAATTCGAGCTGCAACTTTCTGTATTGTCCGAATAATACAGCGATTTCACTTTTTTAAAGAAAATTCAATGTTTGGAGTTGGGAAAGGACTTACCTACAAACAGCAACCTCCTTAGCTTGTGTCCAATTTTAGATGACAACAAAGTGTTACGTGTAGGAGGAAGACTGAAAAATGCGCAACTATCAGAAAATGAAAAACATCCAATCTTATTACCTTCAAAACACAATCTGACAGAAATCATAATTAGACACTTTCATGTCAAATATCTGCATGCAGCACCGGAACTTCTTCTATCTTTAATTAGACAGCAATTTTGGATCATAGCTGCTAGATCTGCTATCCGAAAAGTAGTGAAATCTTGTATTACGTGTTGTAAACTTAGAGCTAAAACTGCAAGTCAAATAATGGCTGATCTACCGGAATCTAGAGTAACACAATCACGACCATTTCATCGAACTGGAATAGATTTTTCTGGACCGTTCATGATTAAACATCGTGCAGGACGTGGACAAAAATCATTTAAATATTACGTATGCTTATTTGTGTGTTTTGTAATCAAGGCAGTACATCTTGAAGTGGTAGAAGATTTGTCAACAAAGGCATTTTTAAGTGCATTGAAACGATTTATTGCAAGAAGAGGGAAACCATTTGAGATTTATAGTGACTGCGGTACTAACTTTAAAGGTGCAGACAAAGAAATCAGAAAATGTTTTTTGCAATGTAAGCAAAATCAAGAAATTCACAAATTTTTGTCTTTAGAGGAAATAAAATGGATATTCAACCCGCCATCATCTCCCCATTTTGGTGGACTATGGGAATCGGCAGTAAAGTCAATGAAATTACATCTAAAAAGGACTGTTGGTGATACTGTGCTGACCTATCAGGAATTTCAGACCTTGATAGCGCAGGTTGAGGCTTGTCTCAACTCTAGGCCATTGTGTCCAACATCGGCTGATCCAAATGATTTAACTGCATTAACACCTGGTCATTTCCTAATAGGAACGTCTTTAACTGCCATACCTGAACCAGACCTAAATTATAGTTCCTTCAATCACATTGACAGATGGCATGTGAGACAGTTTATTTTTCAGCACTTCTGGAAAAGATGGAGTCGAGAATACCTGTCTCAGCTTCAACAAAGACCTAAATGGCAAAAAAGTCAAAACAATTTAGAAGTCAATGACTTAGTCCTCATCAAAGAAGACAACCTTCCGCCTCTTAAATGGAGGTTAGGGAGAATAATTGCTGTTCATCCGGGCTCAGATCAAAGAGTCAGAGTTGCTAGTATTAAAACTGGTCATGGTGTCATAAAACGACCAATCGTCGTGAAATTGTGTCCTCTTCCTATTCAGACTAAAAAACTATGAACTGCTTCGCATATAATATTTTGTATTATTTTTCTTATGTTTATCTTTATTACAGACTAAGAAGTTTCAAAATGCTCCAACTGTTGAAATCCCCTGGGATTTCAACGAGGGCCAGGATGTTTTATGTGAGTATCGTTTGCTTCATTTTATTGTTGCAAACAGCGTAAATTCCTTTTGCTTTTCTTTCTTTAGTTTTGAACTTTATGTGTGGCAACAAGATAATTGATTGATAGAATTGTGTTTGTGACAGCCATGTAGAATGGCTCGCTTATTTTGTATCAATTATTTTGCATCGCTGACAAGTGTAATTTAATAAAAGTGTAGGAATACAGTCCATTTGTTGATTGATTATAGTTTGTGAAACATATTAAGTTAATTAGAATACAGATGTATATTATGTCATATTATGTCTTCGTTTGGGGGAGCATTAACGACATGAACAAAATTTTATAGGGAATTTATGTGCACTGCAATAAATCTGAATGTTTCTGAATTGCAATTTTTTCCAGGAATGTGCTACAGAGAACCCTTGTTGTGATCCAATGACCTGCAAACTGATCAAGCATGCACAGTGCTCATCAGGACCATGTTGTAGGAAATGCAAAGTAAGCACTTTCCAAATTTATTTCCCTATTTAACAAATTATTATAGCTGAGATAACTGAGATGCTGGCTGAAGGTGGTAGCAGATTACTTACTGATGCTAATTGAATAGTAATTCATATTTCATTTAAAATGAAGGTTACACGAGATCGTTTACTGCAGTCATTGAAATCTATGCTCAGGGGGTGCATAAGTATTGTTACGGATTTTGTATATATGTAAATAACTTTAGTGAAATTATATGTGAAACTGTAGCAATTTTTTTTTTTTTTTTTTTTTTTATAGTATAACATCAAATGTTTGAAAGAGACAATGCTCTGCCGGAAAAGTACGATTACAGGGAGGCAAGTCTATTTAATCTTAGGCAAGTCATTGAGTAAATTGCTATCTCGCTAAACTGGCGAGTTATCGCCAAGCTATCGATGGTTTTGGCGATTAATTTTTGTCGTCAGATTTGGCGAAAAATAGCCAAAAGCGGTGACTATTTGACTTCATTTTGGTCCGATCCCTGTATACTTGTAAAATGTATTTGGTATTGTGATTGAATAAATGTAATTGATCACTATATGTAACTGTAACTGTAACAGTATCCGACTCTCGTATGCCTTCCAGTAATTTCGAGAAGGGGAAGGTACTAGATATTTCTCGGTGGCTGGGGGGGGTTATATAAGACCAGAGAAGCATCAGTTTCTCAGTTGTTTAGTTCAGCGTAGGTTCGAAGTATTGAGAGATCTCTGTAGGAGCTTCGCGTTTTTAGATGTGCTTTGCCCTGCGTTGTGTTTAACGTTCTTAGTAGTTTGAATTGTAACTACTGAGTGTGCTCTGTGATACTGAGAAAAAGTTGTTTTGTAGAAAGTTCCAGAACTGTAAAATGTACCTTTTTCTAAAATAAGTTTTATCAAGCTACAATCGGGTCTGTGTGCATTCAGTCCATTACGAACTTGTATGCACGCAGCAGTATGTAAGAACCCTGCACCTACTTAAGATTTTCCCTAGGTGAATAGCACAGCGGACGAGCACAAACATTTTCTGTTCTTAGAAAACTCCGAAGGCCGGTCTTCTCAGAATAGCGAAGACGAAACCTTCGTAATAAGAAGATCCAGAATTTGATGAAATGCTAAAATGGGACTCTTTCTTGTTGAATTCTTTCTTCCACTTAACACGAAGCAGAGAAAAAGGATTTTGACTCCACAGTTGTTTCAATTATACATAAAACTACAATACTGTTAACTATGAATAAAATTAGTACACTATTAAGTCCTTTATTGTTATTTTCATTAAATACTGTTCCTTTAAGAATACAGTTATTCTATTCTGTAGCGTAGCGGAATCTTAAATTTAAATTAATAAACATAAGAGTACATCTTTGCGAGTGGACTGTAGTTTAACTTTTATTTTAGCGATTTCAACTTTAGAACATAACACGGCACAAAGCAAAGCGAGAGAGTTACAATTAGCGTTTGCAAGAATGCAAGAACAAAGTGCGAGCTGCGCATACGATCTGCGCATTGCGAAATAATATCTAACAGGCAGAGAACTCTGGCCGAAACATATTCTGAATTTTAAAAAAGGTTACTTTTCCATTAAAAAAATCAGCTATGTTTAAAATGTTTATAGATTATAAAAAAATAAAAAAATAAAAAAAATAAAATAAAAAGATATATCGCTTTGAAATTTTGCTCCTTGAACTATTTTTTATATTTGCTACTGGATCATACTGCACCTCAAAACTCTTTATTTTATTTTATTTATTTACATGAAAAAACAGTGACCTACATCAGATCTTTGAAAATATGTAAATTTTATTGCTGAAATAATTCTAATCTAAAGATGAATTTTTTTTCCCCAGATGTTAAAATCAAATTGATATGCTTTTCTTACACATACTATGGAATGACAGATTTTTGAATTAATTTGTTGCAAAATAAATTTTTTAAATATTTTCTCCTATTTCAAACTTAAATTTTTCGCTATTTAACAAATTACTGATGACAGTTATTTATGATTATTCATTACTTCTATATGATGCTAAGATATTATTTCTTCATTTAGTTGTTGTCACCGGACCATTTATGTCGGTCTTCCAAAGGCGAGTGCGATATTGCAGAATTCTGTGACGGAAAAAGTGGTGAGGTAAAAATATTATTAAAACATGTCATTTATAAAATTTTTTCACTTATTTTTCTTTCAGTTTTCCACACTGTCTAGAACTAGATAATATTGCAAACATATTGAAGATATGTTTGCGTATCTTCCGTGCTAGATAGTTAAAATCTATCCGTGTTAGACAGTTAAAAAGTTCTACTAGAAATCATTTAATAGTGAAAATACTGTCAACGATGGTAACTGCTATAATCCTCTTTGTCTGCTATTCTATCTAGATTTGTTCCAGAGAATTATTTGTTGGTGAACGTCATCAGAATTGATATTATTAATCTTGATGTTTCTTGCCGAGAGATGGCGCCATAAGTTGAAATGGAACATTCATATTCTGTTCTGCTATTTATCAGGATAGAACTTGGGTCTCTCGTGACATCATTTCACCCGATTTGTTATGAGCTCCATGATTTATATTTGTTAACAATATTAAATTGCTGTTTTTTTATCTTTTTTTTTTAGGCGAAATTTTGTTTTGTAGTTTGGCAACAGTAAGAAAGATTAGAATGATGTTTTGTTTTCCTTAAGCGTGTAAGTAAATAAAGTTTGTCTTTCTTAAGCAAGAAAATGCAATTGTTTATTTAAAATATTTCTTTTCAAGAGTTATGGGAGGGAGTAAGATTTAACGTAAAGGCGAGAACGACTGAATGAAATAATTATTCCGGTAGATTCAACGCAATACGATTTCTGCTCCAACATCACAGCAGCAAACTCCTTCACGGTAAAAAAAAAAAAAACTTTCTTCTACTCAACATCGCTTCTGTCCTTCGGAATCCAGCTATCATAGATATGCCATATTTCCATGCGCCAGTTTACGGCTGAATTTCAACAGAACTGATAACATCGCGCTTAGAACGATAAATCAGTTATAACTCAATATGGGTATTGGTATCTTCTGCAATCTTCATGTGGTGACTCTAGAAATAGAGCTAAAAGAGTGGCAGAAGGTGATCAATGCTAAGACGTTGATGTTATTTTACTTTTGATTTTAGAAATGAATTGCTTTTTAGCTTTACAAAAATTCTAATGGAAAGTATGGAATAAAATTTACTCATATATATAAAAGTACTCTAATAATTATAACAGAAATTTAAAAAGTAAATGAAAAAAGTCTGAAATTCGTAGATTTATTCGACATTCACGAAATCTTAGACAATGGCTTTAAAATTCACGAAAATAAATGCAGATATTCGCACCACAGTAAAATTCTCTTAGAGTATATGTCCAAGAGTTCAAAATATATTTAGTCGTACAAAAACATCCTATGGAAACTTGTAAGGGATTTTCTCCCTCTTTGCCGCGTGCCTTTGTGATGTAATCGGAAGCACGTCCGTCTCTCACTGAGAAGTCCAGGGTTCGAATCCTGGTCTGAGCATTAGCCATTTCTAGTGCTCCGAATAAGTTTACCAAAATGACTCTGAAAGTAGAGCCCAAACATGGAAAAACGAACTGTGATGGACGCTAGTTTGTCACCGCTAGAATTCGGCTACTCGATTCCATTCTTTGCAGTCGCCCTGGAAGAACGCAAAGAATTTTCTTTCTCCTTACCGCGTGCTTTTGTGATGTAGCCGGAAGCATGTCTGGCTGGTATTGGAAAGCTTAGAGTTCTAATCCCGGAAAAGGAACTGCTGATTTTTCCTGTTTCCTGCTTCAAAATAAATCTAATTACTCTATAAACTTGCCCAAAGGATTTATTTAGTTTCAAATATATTTGAACTTTTTAAACACAGAATGGTAAGAAAATTCTCATAGTTAGAAGAACCATATGAGAGTTAGATGAGTTTGTCTTGTCTAATTCCCATAGCATTCTACTGGTATTTCTGACGTGGGTTCCATTCCTGGCGAACGGGTCGGCTGCATGGGCGTTTCCGTGGTTTTCCCCATGCGTAACGTGTACATAAACCAGTTTCACTTAAACCTCCACGAAGCCATCTCTTCCTTAGTGTTAAAATAGTACTAATGTATTTTGCCATAATCAACTAAACCAAACCAAACTCATAGCATTCTCTACGTGAGACAGAATGACTTTGTAGAATTATAGTTTTTTATGACTTCCTATATTTTCGAAATTATTTGATACCCACGGTAGCGTGTACAACCAAAATGTTGATTACATTTACTTATTTGTAAATTTAAGGAATTGAGCTAAATTATTAAAAAGTTTAATAAATAACAAGAACTGAATTTTAATTGTTCCTTACTGCACCTTACGTACGAGCTAGCTGTTATTAGATTGAGCACCAACTTTAATCCTTCGACGATTGCGAAAATTACGCTATTCTTTCTTCCTTAATGCGCCGATATCTGTGTCAGTCGTAAATTTGTAATGCAAGCTTGTTTCTTTGCGCTCACTGCCGTGTGTAACTGGAATGCGAGGTAAGCTCGTTCATGATCATCAAAGATTTAATAAACGCCGAGCGATACTGTGCATCAAAAAGTACCTGAATGCCATTATTTCCAAAGTGAATAAGCAAGACCGATGTGCAATAACAGGGAAGTTGGAGCGAGTTGGAGCTGTTTATGCGATTGCTATGCTCTAGCTGAAGTTTTGTAAATTGTTTGTCCAGTGAATATTACAAGACAAAGAAACATATCATATAGCTACGTCTCCAAAATATCTGTAACAATATGCCACAAGATTTCCTATCACCAGTGAGCTAAAGAAACTATTGCGCTATCAACGATTCAATATGACAATGACATGTAGGACAGAATTTGGAAATGATTCCAAAAATAATTTAAGAACTTTTGCGAGAATTTTGACGTAAATATAGTATCGCATTGGTTAAATATCGAAATAATAACGATAAATATGTTTGAGAAATCATTGCTCGTTTATTTAATGCCCTTTATATAGAATGAAGCATAAGAAATTGATGATTTTAAAAATGAAAGAACACAGTAAATGTATAGAACTGATATTCATGTTCACAGTTCAAGTTCCTCCTTATCGGTAGGGGCCAAAATCTGTTTCTCTCAAATATCTGAAACACTCGTATATATGAATTTTTGTTGGAATGGATTTCCTTTCCCCGTTTCAAATAGCGTTACAATACAGCGTTAACAATAACCTCACTTAAGTGAAACGAGTACTTCTCTCTTGGTGATCTTTGTGCAGTTTCACCCACTGTGTGCAGTTTCCCTTTAAGACAGGATTGCAACTACGAGCATAAATAGCTATACGTTGATGCTAAATAAAAGGGAGGGAAGGTGCACTCAAATAACAGAGCTACTTTTAGTCGCTTCAAAAGAATGATTGGCATGTCATATATAAAAACTCCTGAAACTATGAGCTGTGCACTAACTTAATGGAGAAAAATATCAGGTAGAAAGTGGATTCAGACTCTCAAGCGACCTGCCGATGTCTGAATGCTCGGGCTTTTCGGATGACTTCGCTGTGAAAAAGTTAATGCACCTCATTACTGGAGAAATTAAAAAGAAAAATTACACCAATATTAGGTTCTCAAAATAATGCTTTGCAAATCTTGCCCTCCTCGGGGCAATGCACTGCGGAAGTCGATCAGCAAGATTCCGCATAGCATTATGTAGCATTTCTCTCGGCATGAAGGCTATCTTACTTTAAATAACAACCTTTAGTTCAGCTAAGGAACATGGTTTGCTGTTATACATTCTTGGTTTTATGCAGGAAAGAATCACGAATTCAAGTTCCAAAAGAAGTTCCAAACACTAGGCCGAAGATTATGTGATCGAAATGACCGCACGATGTCTGCACATCGTAAAATTAAAGGTTCCGTTAATATCCTTCTCAATACTTCTGTCCAGTCCCTAGCCATATGGGCATTTGCTCCGTACTGTTGAGCTAGAGGTCGGTTCGATTTACGCACCTTCTCTGAATTTCTGTAGCACAGCAATGTATTATTCTGCTTTCACTGTTACTATCTAGTCTTACTCAAAAAAGTGTGGTTCGATCACCTCATGTCACTTTGACACTCCATATCTCATTAACTAACACGTTGTGAATATAATGCATGGTCATGATGTTGTGCGAAGTTTCGCTGATCCGAGAAAGTCGTTATGAAATTTCTGACCCGACGTGGAAATCACGTTTTCCTGCAGAGTGCTTTTAGCAGAATTGCTAGGAGATGCTCCGACAACCATTTAATGGCCTATGTATTGCAGCACAATAGAGCGTCAGACCATTTTCCACAAGAAGTAAGGAACTAAGTCGATGTCAACTTTCAGGCGCTGGATTCTACAAGATAGTTCCATTCCTAGGGTTCCATGATTGTCCAATCTGCTGTATGACAATTCCCTTTTTAAGGGAAATTTCTGATCCTCAATTATGAGGCTTGCATCGGTCTGAACCTACGGCCAGAATTTCGGTCGGTACTGCAGGTACATGCGAGGGGGACGGTGTATTCGAGAAAATCCTCCAATCAATCCTCGCGGTTGTGTGTTGTCGGTTGCGCATTTACATTGGATTTATTAATGATTAAAGTTATTTTTGTATTTTATGTGACATTTACGAGTTTGCTCTTAGACTTTTTGGCTTAGTTATAAAGCGCCTTCTAGCGCTTTTCTTTCATTTTCAACCACCCCCTCTATGACGAAAAAAAAAAATGTTCTGTTCTTCCATCTATAAAGTTTGTTCTATTTTCTTTAAACATTCTACATTTATGAGAAGACACTTCAAGAATTTTTTTAGAGTAATCTAGTTGAAAAAAATCTGAGATCAGGGATTTAATGAAATCTGAATAAATAATATTTATTTAAAAACTAAGTTAAAATTTTTTAAATAATTTACCAAATTATTTTTTAAATTATGTTCACAAAATTTTCACGTATGTGAATGGTATATTAAGCAAATCAGCAGGGTCTGAAAACAGCCCATAAAACTACGATTTTCACCTCTGGAAACCTGAAAACTATTGAACATCTTTTTTTGTGAAATTCATGAAACCATATACTTTTAATGAAAATCTTATCACGCTCATCAAAGAAATAAATACTGAAAATTCATTGAATCCATATTAGTGTTATCTGCGCTTTATGTGGAAAATGGAAAGAAAACCATGATTTCATTTATAATTTATTCATTAAAACCGGTTTACTTCATGCTAATTCAGGTAAGAATAACAGAAGAAAGAAATATTATTAATTATTTGAAAGGTTTAGTTTCATGGTTCCTATGTATTCAAAAATTCTTTGGAATTTTTATTTCAACATGCAGAACTCCTAGAGGAGTGGCCTGGAACATCAAAGCTCCGCAGAATATAATTTCAGTATCTATGTTTTACGTTAGGTTTTAAAATTGAAACGAATGTTGGACAAAGTTTTATTATAAACTGCGTCTTACTCGGAAAGATTTCTTACACTGCTCTTGTAAGAAGAGCAATGATCCTTTGAATTTGTTTAATTTAAGAAAGAGCGCAATTAGAACACTTCCTTTGTCTATTAAATAGCTACTATTTATGTAATATGCAAAACGTCAAGGAGTTTAGATCAGATAATAATTTACCATACATATGTTTTAGTGCCCTGAAGATCTTTACAAGAAAAATGGAGCCATGTGTTCTGATGGCAATGGTTATTGCTTTCAAGGAGCTTGCCCTGTTTTAAAAGAACAGTGTCAAGAAATCTGGGGTCAAAGTAAGAATTATATGTATTATAAAATATTATTTATCACCGCAGAATCAATTCACCTTATCTTCTTTATCTTCTCGAAAGTGAGTCATTTGTTATTATCAATTTCATCACATGTTCTTATGAAACAAAAACGATGCTATCCTTATTCTTTTATCTTTTTCTAGATAAATAATTTAAATAAACAACAGATCAATAACGCATACTTTCATCCTTATTTATCAGTTATTATTATCCCTAATCAACCTTCAAGTGCCTTCTATATCATTCCAAGTATTTCCAGTGTGTTTTGTTTAAAACAATGAAATTTTAATTATGTATCAGTGTCTGAATTCTTCCGTTTTATTTATTTTCTTTAGCAAAATACTCATTCATCGCAAGGAGGTGGAAGAGAAAGTAAACTATTTCCATATGACATATAAAATATCATAAAAAGAAAGTTTCAGAATTAAGGGGGGAAAACACTCACTGATGGAAAAATGACTACTACTGCTCACATAACAAAGAAGTTTGTAATGAGGTCATCGATGCAAATGATCATTTTTTAAATGCACTTCAAATTTCTTTTTGTTGATTAAAAATACACAAAACTTAAAATCAGTTTTTGAAATGAAATGCTACAAAAAATGTTTTATAAACTCACGAGTTGCACATGCCAAAACTGAACGCTAAGAGGTACCTCAATTATATCTAAAATCCAAATTACAATAAGTAAAAGGCCTCGAAAAAGGAGCTGTCGTTAAAGAAATTTGAATGTGTGGAGATAAGAGCGTAATGAATTAGAATCATTCTTTTCTGTTATAACTGATTCACATATCTAGTTGGTATTTTGAAGTTCTGCTGAGACATCTACAAAATGCAATAACAAGAACTGACTAATGATTTTGTAAGATTCTCACTAGTGTGTTTCTCAGTTACTGTAGAAAGTGACAATTCTTAAGAACTAGTTAGCGAATAATCGCTTAAGTTCGTGTGACAAGAAACAACAAGATGAAAGGGTAAATAACACTTTATTATTCAAATAAGATTTAACAGAACTCTCTTGGAGTGTACAATAAAAGCCGATACTTGGGCTTGAACTTAAGAGGCTAAGAATAAACTAAAACTAATCTAAACTACGAGATATAGCCTAAGATATCAAGATTCTAACCGAGTTGGTCCCTTAACACTAATTGACTGCGAAGCTATCAAGGGCCTGAGTACGGCCGAGCGTAATAACAGCTTTGAGAGAGAGTAGCCCAAAAGGCGAACCCGCGCTAATCAGAAACTCTGATTCTCTCTAACTCAGCAAGTAGAACTTCACGATTAAATACCTCTCTTCCTCATTATGTATTCAGACGTGATTCCAAAACTGCGTTCTGGTTGGAAGTAGTAAGTTGAAGTTAAGAGTTTGACAGGAAAGGAGTTTAACTGTTAATAAAACTAACATAATCCTTACAAACTTAAATAATGCATTTCACAAAAATTATTAATTACACATATCATGAATTAAATGCATTTTTGTTTAAATCAGTCAGTTAAATTATTAACAATATATGATTAGCAACTGTATTTATTTCTTTTAAATTGCTTATTTTGTGGATCAAAAAATACTAAGTTTGGAAGATAAATTGAATATCTTAACGTTTTGCCGACTAGCAAAACACTACCGCATGGAGGATCAAAGTATTCTATTTTGGGCTCTGAAAACACATTGTTTTCAAGCAGCTGTATTTGTTAATAAAAAATTCATTAAATTGGCTCAAAACATAAAATAAATATAAAGCAGATTCGAAATTCAGAATTTGCGTTTCGAAGTGCTCCTGTTAGAAAGCAAGACTAAGTGCGTCCAAAATTTAGTGGCTTTTAGTTCCACTGGCTTTCTAGAGTGCGACAAATACGCGGATAGATTCTTCATATTTTATTAACACAGATGGAGATAAATAATAAAGCTTATGATTTTTAGTTAGATAACAATAGAATTCTATATCGTCTTTTTTACAGCAATCCTGCTTTGGTCATGACTAATCTAACTTTTGCTTGATCAGTTATCTCAAAGCACACGAGAGCTACTATATGCATGAATAAGTAGATCCTTCCATGGAGTAATTTGCGAAGGACTGGTTCGTATTTACATGATAAACGTGAAAATCCACAAAACGCCCATGAAGGGAAACCGTTTGCCTGTATAATAACAAAGCTTTAGTGATTTATCCTTTCGACCATTGGTAGACCTTATGACCAGTTTAATTAGTAAACAAAGTTTACAATAATAATAATAATAAAATGTAGTACTACTAATACTTATGCATTATCCTGTACCTGCAGTAACACCGCCAATACAATCAACCATGACTGCTTTCCTGCGAGAGTTGTGACAACCTTAAAAGCTCTTTCGGTTTCTGGAAAAGGTGCTACATTTAATTTATTATATTTTATTTATTTTTGACTAAGGGAGAGTGGGGGGGGGATATTTTTTTTTCACCTCAGGGTCAGCTTTGGATAAATAAGAGCAAATGCATTAGATTTATGTACCACGGAAACAGATGTACGATGGAAACATGATGTTGATTGTTAAAATAAGAATAAAGAATTAGTTTGAGAGAAGTCACTGGTCTTATTATTTAGCAGAGTTCTTATAGGCTGACTTCAGAGAATAATCAACAACCTTTTTGATACGATTTTAAATACAGTTGTTAAACAATAGCCGCCAAAGATTAAAAAAAACTTGTTCAATCTATCTGCTGATATCAAAAATATATTTTATCGTCAAAAGAACTCGTTAGATTATATGATGGTTATAAAAAGGGCCAAAAGTAGTCATTAGATTGTTTTTAAGAATGTGCGCGATATTTTTCCTTTGATGCTTGCAAAGTTTTGCTACCGATTTCCTCTAGAAACGAAAAAGCTTATCAACAAATTGCCTCAATGGTTGTTTGAATTCCTCGCATACTCCTTTGTAAAAATTATACAATAAATTTCATTATACAGCAAATTCGACTTCAATTTTAGAGCAAGTGAGCCATAGATATTCTAACAGTGAAACAGTATCGAAATTTCCTTTTCACTTTTTCACTCATCCTGGGTACGAAATTAGTTGATGATCGTCCTCTTTTTTCCTATATCATAGGTTCTGTACTTCCCATTAAACAATATCCGATGCCCCAGTTTCTATCACAAGCAGGATACCTTCAAAATGGTACTCTTTTCTGAAAAAGTTGGTGTTGGTCGCTTTTCGGAACACTTTATCACATGTAATTCGGTCACTTTTCGAAAAAACACAAACCTTCAGAAAGTTGCCTACATCCTTGGAAAGATCGATTTCGTACCAACGTGAGCGCCTTTATTAAATTGAATTTGAAGAAAGCAACTTTGATAAGGCAATGGCCATCTTCAAGTCAGGGCACCTTTATGCAATTTTTGCTATGATTTTCGTTTGTCTTATCAACAGATGTTAAAAAATTAAAATCATACTTCTATAGCTGTGTTCTGGGATAAAGGAGCCTACGTTTATGAGAAAGTTCAAAAATGATCTTCATAAGGATGCGGTCATCTTTTCATGCTGCAACACCATTAAGAAGGGTTTTGTCTTTTCGAATAGTGGCAGATTTGCATAAAGATGCCCGTACTTTTATCAGGAAGCACTGTTGTGAAGTGGTCTCACGTCATCCATTGTACGCCGTTCTTTTTCCAGTTTTAAGGTTGGGGCTATATTGTGCATATATTATTTCTGTTCATAAGATCTACATAATTATTATCTCATTACTTCTTTTACCTCTATTTTGGGTTTCAAGAGATGTCTGCATATGATATTCTCTTCAAGATCTAAAACGTTTAAGCATTTTTCCTTTTAAATTAGCGATAATTGCTTTCTTGCTTTAAGCCATCTTGGTTCAGTAAAGCTTTTTCATGACTGTTCTTATTCAATTATATAATCAAACTTCTTATAAATGAATGCCATTATTCATTAATGCTTATATAAAGCTTATAATGGCGAAGTTGAAACTGCTGCAAATACTTTTATGTATAGAGTAATATAATACAAACTAAATATTTTTAAATTTTCGTATGCTCAAAATAAGTATTATTGATTGCACAATTCTAATTTGAATTACTGTATATTAGATGCAGATGTTGCTGATTCAGTCTGTTTCAAAAGGCTCAATGTCCTAGGAACACCTTACGGCAACTGTGGATCGGACAGCGATGACCAGATTCATAAATGCACAGTAGAGTAAGTAGGTTTAAAAACACTTCTTGAATTTCATGTGTTAAATTAGAAAAAAAAAAAAAATTAACTACAGCAAGTATAAAAGTGTCTTGAAACGGGCAGCTGTTCTAATGACCTGACTTCATTCCTAAATAACTATATTAACCTTTTAATGTACATCTGAGCAAGGAAAAAATAAAAACGACATTAAATATCAAGTATAAATATGAAAGTTAGTATAATTTTTCTTCAAAATTAAATTTCAGGTTGGTAGTAATGGGATAATAATATGCAAAATGATAAAAATTTATCATTGCATCCATTAGGACTTAGTATTAAATAGCTCATAATTTTAAATGCGTACGTACCTTATTTACCTTTGTATCTTCTTGAAGTAGAATAAAATAAAAACAGCCCCAATTTTTGCTTTGTATTGAAAATTCATTTCAAGGGTCTTGTTGTTTTGCATAGGTGAAATTTAAAGTAAATTGACAAGTATAGCAATGGGAGTTAGTCGGTAATGTAATCACCAACACTATCTATAATGCCTTTCCCATCTTGCTGTCAAGTTTTCTATACTGTTATGAAAACTATGATTTCTGATGCCTTGCTCACGAATTTTTTTTAAAAAATTGCCTTTCTTTTACTTGCAACAATACGCGTCTAGGGTGCAGACCACCACACATCGAAGGCATGCGAAGAAGGCGGGAGAAATACCTTATATACTCCCCCTTTTAAAGGGCGACTGGGGCTTTAGGGAACTCGATTGCCAAATTCTGGGAGTGGAGAATCATCATCCACCAACCTTTTAGCTTGGGCGCCACTGTAGAGACATTAAGTTATTTGGAAGCAGAAGTGACGAAAAATGAGCAACGTCTTCCCCGGGAATCGAACCACGGACCTCTGGATACACGCCCAGCGTGCAGAGCACCATAACACGAAGGCATGCGAAGAAGACAGGAGAAATACCTTATAATGTATCCTTTAAAGCCAAACTAGATTAGAAAATAAATGTTTGCCATGACGCGAAGGGAAGGTTCATCGAGAATATGTAGGATTAGTTAAAGAAAAAATTTGATGTGTACACTACATGACTTCCTTGAACAGAATATTAAATTATATGCATTTTTTCTTGCATTTCATTTAAGCTTATTAGATTGAATCAAATCTACTTCGTCGATAGCTCATAAACCACAACATAATAAATGCACTCTTTAAACTTCATTTCTTTACCATAGCGGCACTCTGGCGCTATGGTTACTTAACAGCGTTACATTTCATTCATTTTATAACTCAGAATGCACAAATTTTATAGCATCTTAAGAATTATCTAATCGTTGCCACATGTTCTGTTCAAATACTATAATAAATATAAACGATGTATAAAAGAAATTAAACAAATAAAATAATAAAAAAAAAGAAACAGTTTTCCACAGATGATTCAATAACAGTACTACAGTACTTTTCAATCAATTAATTCAGTTTTCACTTCGCGACAGGGCAAAGAAACCTAAAACTCAATATACCTATATTAAAAATTACGAAGTAAATCTTAAACACTTATTTCCTCCAAAACATTCCAGAATGGATTAAGCACGATTTAATTCGCAATAATAAATGAAGGTGTTATCTTTGTTGTTGTGAGCTTAATTTCTCTACATTGGCAACAAACCCACTATTCTGCTGTTTCAAATGTAAACAAACATGGCCGCCATGATATTTAAAAATTAGGCTTAGTCGCACTTTAACAGCTTTTAAATCGTTGATAATTCTATAAATATTGCTTGCAGATTTCGTAAAGGCATAAAAACCTTAAGCGGAAGATAAGAACAACATAATTCAATCACTTTTAAAGCCAAAAATGCGCAATTTACAAACATATATAAGAATAAAGAAACTGAGCTCACTGAGCCGAGTAACAGAGCGGATATATATAAATATATTTATATACTTTTGGTGCGCCGATTGCAACCAAAATACGCGGTGCACATATACTTGTTATAGCTATATACAAAATTTCAACGTTCTGAGGCTACTCATTTTTGAGTTATGCGAGATACGTGCGTACATTAGAACGTACGCACATACGCCACGAAAAATTCTCTTCAAGGAAGGATACATGAATTCATTTTAAACCAGTTTTATATTTTTTGTGTGGGGAGTGTCCACTATTCTGTCTTTACGTACAGATGTCATACAAAAACATCCTTAAGTTGCATTCGATAGCGGTCAAAACGGATATTTTCATTTTCATTGAAATATGAGGCCTAAAACTTTTCGCGATTACAGTACTTCCTTTTGACTTCGTACAAGGAAGTAAAAAGGATGTGAACACATTTCTCATTCCTCATAGTATGCTAACCTAACTTTTCCCTCTTGAGGCTGAAGTCAGGGATGCTTTTAAGGCTTTCTACTATAAATCATTATGCAGTATTTCAAGCTGACTAGCAGTGCCAGTTAATATTTGGCTACCATTCTAATTATCAAGGCATTTCAATGAAACAGACGAGGAATTTTCAATGAACTCTCATGAGAATGTTTATAGTAACACATTCTCTCCAAGCAGTTGGCTCCAGTGAACTACATTAATTCATAACACGAATGAATCTCCTATTGCAGAATTACATAGGTATATTAAATAGTAAATGTATTTAATTTTTTCTCCATTTAGGAACTCGCTTTGTGGCTTGATACAATGCAGTAAGGGCGAAGTTTCGACTTCAGATGAGACGCTCCCAATAGAATATGTTGTGCATAAAATGAATTCACAAGGAAGGATACATGAATGCAAGTGAGAGTTATTCATTATATTTAAATGAAAATGTAAATTTTAATGATATGTGTTATAGTATAATAATGTGAGTTCCATTTCATTCCTCATTTAAGAAGTCTAATAACTCATAACAGAACAAAGGAAGGTAAAATAATTAAGCTGTTTGAATATTCTTCCTGTAGACCTATCTACAGGAAGATTATATTTTATCCGTAAACATTTTTCAAAACATATTTTTCTCTACTTGTGCTTAAATTATTATCCTTTAAAATTCTAATATTTTGGTTTTAATGTTACTAAAATTAAGCCATTCTATCTTGCATAAGAAAGATTAAGCTAATTACGCTCAGTTTATGAAATGTTACTTCGTAATTTAACTATATTTGTTGCATAGCTATTTTTATACCTAACATTTATTTATGCAACTAAAATAATGTTTTTACTCTTATTAAGGAAACAGGTAAGTAAACACGAAGTCTATAAAACAAGATCGAACGATTGCACTGAAGTATAAATAATTATAATTCAGGTATTAAACAGTGCAGTATACACATATATAGAAAGATAAATTTTCGCTTATAAATAAAGGTAAATTGTCGTATGAGGAAGATAAAAGCTATAGCTAATACTGTTATTAAAACATTCATATTCCTCTAGGAAAGTTGCACCACCGGCAGTGCCTGCGCTAGGCTTTTGGCCGCCTGGTGCAATCACTTCGATACCTAGAACCTGCCGCCCAGTAACTACTTAAATTTTACAATTTTGTCGCCCCTAAATTCTGCCGTCCTGTGCGGCTGCACCTGTTGCACATGCTCTGGCATCTGCCTTGACCGCAGGTTACATTAATTTGCTGTTCATTCTGTGGAAACACCTTCATAATGGTTCCCCATCATAAAGGTATGTACACTGCTCAAAAAAAAAAAAAAAAAAAAAAAAAAAAAATTGGGACAGTCCTATAACTCCCGATCTAGTGGGCCGATTGACAAAATTCAAATTGCGTTCTTAGTGTCTCGAAAGCGCGACTTAGGATATATATTAGATTTATATATAGCACTATGCTCTAACATAGGTATTTTGACACAAAACTCGGACTTTTTCTGAAATAACATACCATTTTTTTTACATATTTCGATTCTACGACTCAAATTACACCTAAATATGAAATTTTGTAAAATTTGGAGGCGAAATTTACGGAGAAATTAAAAAACAAAAATTTATGTTAAGGCACTTTTTTGTCAGTTTGCGCCAAGAATACTTCACTTGGCGAACTTCTTAATATTATGGCAACCTAGTTTTCCTTTCCCTTGAGAGGAAAAAAGTCACCATCGTTCCTTTTTTTTTTTTCCAAATAATATTCTTTATATTATATTTTTAATTATAACTTATTATTTTAAGTAATTTTTCTTTTTTTCGAATTTCATTTTAATTGTTTAAGTTGCACTTTTTTTTTTTTTTTTTTTTTTTTCTTTTTCTTTTTTTTTTTTTTTTCGAATAACTGTTTTAAAAAATTTCTATTTACCTATTCGAACTGCGTAAATAAAGGTGCAGCGTTTATTTTTTTTTTCAATAGTTTTTTTCTTTATATATATTTTTCGTCATAGTTATTATTTTAGGTAATTTTTAAAATTTTTATACTTTTATTTTAATTGTTTGTGTTGCATTGTCTCTTCAGATAATTGTTTTAAAATTTTCTATTTATTTCTTCGAACTGAGCATTTTAAATATATTTATTAATATCAAATTTTCCAGAACTTGATTTTATTTATTTGAACTTGCGTTTCTTTCGGAAGGAATACTTTATGTAACCCAGACTACTATGAGTGCATTTGAAAACTGCATACTATATTAAAAAGAGAAAATACTACAGTAAAGCACAGTTTTAACACGCCTTTCAATGTTCCGTTCAGAAAAGATATATATAAATAAGAGAGATGTATAACCGACATTTTAACTTAGGATGACTTGCATATACACTGCTTTAAACAGTTTTATCATTGTGCCCCATTGCTTTACACAATTTTATCCTACATTTGGTTTCTTAAAATGTTATTCATATTTTAGTTACAAATTTTATTTTTGAAATCGCAAGAATCAAATATCATAACATTGAAAAGTTTTAAATTAAAAAGAAAAAAAAAAAAAAACTAAATTTTACGAAAAAATTTATTTTTCTTCTCTTTTTCTTTAAGCATTCTGAAAGTATATTAAAAAGTATCCAACTTTTCAAAACATTTTGGTATTTCTGACAATCATTTTAAATAAAGTTATCGCCTTCCATTTCATAAAGGCCCACAAAAGGCCGAGCGGTAAAGACGCTGATCACTGGTAGTTCGGTCCGAGGTTCGAATCCCGCGAAAAGGCTGGTTGCATGGGTGTTTTCGTGGTTTTCCCGATGTGTAACGTGTATACGAGCCAGTTTCCCTTAGAAAGTCCTCCACGAAGGCATCCCTCCCTTTAGGCAGATAGCCCTCGTGTGCTTTGCCATAATTAAATAATCCAATCCAATCCTTAATTAAATATAATTGATTTGTAACTTCTACTAGAACTGACGTTAAGAATTGAAGTGCAAATAAATAATATCGTGTGCAATCTTGATTAATATAAAATTAAAAATATTTGCACAGAAAAATATTTGCATTCAGACAAAGTTTTTTGAAATATTGCAATTACTTTATAAGAAGGATTTATTAATAACCGTAATAATTACTTATTATATTACTGATGATTAGGAATCAGTTCTTGACAATTACATTCTAAATTAGAATTTTAAGAATTATTAGAATTTAAATTAGAATAATGAAAATACGCTACTCACAAAAATACATTTTAGGATAAAAAATGAGTTGATTTTTTATGTTTTAAAACTTTTGAATTCATTTAATAAACATCGTATCCTCGTTGTTAATTGAATTCCAGAATGTTGGGTGTCGTTTATATAATTATTCTTACTTGTCCACGGAATCTGCTGACTTATCCAGTGATTAAGTAGCTGCAGATCATTTCTACATAACCATTGAACTTCCATTAATTCAGTTTCTAGAGGGTTGTATATTTATATCATAATTTGACTTTTATAAAAATGATTATTCTAAATCTTATGTTTCTATAAAAATATACTGTGCTTTAAAAATATGGATGATAGTACCAGCCGCTCTTTCAGCCACTTCAAAAGCATCAGTTTGTTTAGAAATAAATTGTGCAGTTAATGACATAAAATTCAAATAAACATCAAACGAAAATTCTCAGTTTTAGACAATTCGATTTAATTGAAGTAAAGTAGCAGACGATAAAACGCCGAAGGTAAAAATTTACTCATACAAAAATTTACTCTTATTTAAAAAAAAAAAAAAAAAAAAAAGATAGAGAGAAAAAAAAAAATATTAAAAAATTTATTTATAAAAATAGCTTTTCATATAGTATTAATAAATATTTATTACGCATCATTGAGGGAAAAAATGTCATTTAATTAATTCTCCGTAAAATTTTACTTGAAATTTAAGGTTAAAAATAGCTGTGGCAATACAGTGTAACAAAAATCCATAGACCACATTTGGCGTTATTATCGCTCAAAAAAAAGATGCCAAATTTCAAAACACGAAAATATGTAAATTTGTGTATATCTTAGAAAATTTTGAATAAAAAAGTCTAATTTTTTGCAGATATGCTTAAAAATATACCTACTTTAAGATGATGGTAAAAATTTTATAGGTTATAATTCAAAATGTTTTTCGAAAAATTTATAAAAATTATTTAAAAATAGAAATTTAAAAATAAACACAAAAAATGGGTAAATTTTTATTTGGAATGAACCTAAATTTCGAAATGTGAGAGAAAAAATCAAAAAAAGTTTAATAAAAAAAGAGATGTAAATAAATATTTGCCAAATTCAATTAACATTGAGGAGCTAAAATTTTGAGAGCTAATATTTCAAAAACTACTCGTACGATTTTTACAAAACTTGGTATTTTGGCATAATTTGAGTCGTAGAATCGAAATATGTAAAAAAATTGGTATGTTATTTCACAAAAAGTCTGATTTTGTGTCAGAATTTCTATGTTAGAATAGTGCTATATATAAATCTAATATATATCCTAAGTCGCGCTTTCGAGACATGAAGAACGCAATTTGAATTTCGTGAATCGCCCCAGTAGAACGGGAGTTATAGCACTGTCCCATTTTTTTTTTTTTTTTGAGCAGTTTATCTTTTTGAAAGTAGGGCGCTGTACAGATACCTTCATAAAAACGCCCGTAGTCTTGTGCAGATGAATTTCTAACTTATTGTTACGAATTTGGTATTTAAAAAGCTAATGTTAGTTCAATTATAAATTAAATGGTTTTATTTTTCGCGCAGTGCAGCGCGTGACGAATATTAAAAGAAAGCTAAGCCGGAAATTTGAAAATACAAGAGCGCGTGCATTAAATAAATAAATATCTCTTTTTGATTTCGAGAAAGTACTAGAAAATTTTAGCGCGTGATTTTAAAATCTTATAAAAGGAGGAAAACATCTCAGTTCGTAGTAGTTGCTTAGTTTGTTGTTGTTTAGAAAACTGCTCTTGTTGACTGTAGCGAATTCGCGGATTAGCTTTCTTTAGCTGTTTTAAATTACGTTCTATTGGACATTTGAGTAGTTAAAAGATTACTACTGTGAGATATTGTAATACTGCATGATAATTTGAGGAAATTTAAGCATTTTTGTTGAGATAATAATAAATTTTTGTTCGTTTTTCATCGAACTTGTGCATTTATTTCGTAACGAACCCGTACGCACGCAACAATGTTTGGTGTCAGAAGTGGGATTTGAATGCCAATCACAAGAGCGATGAAAGAGCAGTTAAGACAGCTGATATCAGCCTTTGCTGCATTTAAAGAGGAAATGAAAACGGCCCAGCAAGAAATGAAAGTGGGACAAGAAGAAATGAAAGATGAGATGAAATCTAGTCAGGAAAAGATAGGAAGCTGGTCAGAAAAGATGGAAGAATCCGTTAAAAAGGAAATGGAAGCCGTTCACGAAACGTTG